GGGGCTCCTCGCTCAGCTGCTGCGGCCACCAGCCCGCAGGAGAAGCCCCGGCCGCTCCGCCAGGTCCCGTCCCCAGGAGGGACAGGGTGAGGACGTGCAGCGCCGCGTGCTTGCCATCCCTCTGAGCAGGGCTGGCGATCAAAGCGGAGCGTTGCCAGACGCAGGCACCGGGAAAAACAGCTTATTTGTTTGAAAAGAGGCTTGCAGACCCAGCTAATAGACTTGGAAGTACAATAAATGGAGTTCCCTGACTTCCCTGAGAGCATTGGAGGGGACCACAGAGCATCTGCCCAACACCCAGCTCCTGTGGAGGTGTCATGGTTCAGGGGGACGATGGGGAGCCCGGGGGGTCACCAGCCCCGGTACCCCCCACAGCGAGGGACCGTGCATTGCGTGTCGTGGTGACGTGCACCGGGCAGCACACGAGCCCGCTCGGCTTGGCCGCTCCGGCGTTGGAGTCTCCATCAGTTGCAGACATGCCGTGCCAAAGAGAGCGCCTGCCAGCAGGAGAAGAGCCGGGGCCGGGCTGCGCGAGCGCTGCAGTCGGCGGCAGGACGGCGTTGGACACTCTCAGTCCTGAGTGATGAGCATCTTGGAAACGGAGGAGCTCTTTACAGAGATCGTTTCTCTGATGGAGGCTCTCCGAAGGCACATCCATCGGAAGAAAAGAGCATGCTTTAATTATGCTAATTAGAAACTTGGCAGCCTCGGCTGCTCGGTGCTTCTCTGACGTGGAGACACTTCCCCGTACCGGTGTCTGCCTTCCTCAGAGGGGGACGGCTGCTGCAGGGTGCTGGGGGGGGGTTACCCTCATAGCATGGGCCTGATCCAGGCTCTGAGGGGCACTCGGGCGAAGGATGCCGCCGGCTGCGGGGCTCTGGGCTGGCAGCACCCTTCCTTCTCCCAGGACGACACGGACATCCCCACGGGGATGCATCCCATGAAGCACAGAACGCGTGGCAGCCCCGAGCCGGGCTGGCAGCGTTTGCACCTTCGGCAATAAAACTCACCCCACAAGTGCAGCGCGCTGCCCAAAGTCGCGCTTTCCTCCCCGCGGGCTCCATCCCTCACTGCAGCAAACGGCAACGCTCTTGTGCTGAAAGCAGGTAAACGTGGCTAAAATATGGGGGCAAAGAGAATAATTCTTGTCCTCCTGCTCCAGGCTATAATAAACGGCCGTGGTCCTAAATTTGACTGACCTGGCCATCGGTTACTTGTCTCCTGTGCATTCAGGAGCGGGCAGGGAACAGGTATTTCCACACCCCGCGCCATACCCGCACGGTATTTATTGCCGGCCGGCACTGATGGATGGCTCGTTCTCGCCACCCATGAGCATCGCTCTCCTCCTGCTCCGGCTGCTTCAAGGGCAAACAATTCTCTGGACTCAGCCTGGAGAGCTCCATTCCAAGCATCATTTTTCCCTGGTTTGTTGTTAAAGGATGTGTGAAGCCATTTCAAGTGACAGAGCAATTTCCTTTGTGTCCCGCAAAGCAAAAGGAAAAAAAAAAAAAAAAAAGAAGTCAGTGTGTTACACACAAATCTGCTTTTCTTTTGCAAGTTTAAATAGTAACAGCTTAATGTTCAGCAAATCCACCGCTGTAGTAATTCCAAATCAAAGGCTCAGTGTCAAAGGAACCATTTTGCTACAGCCACCAAATAATGTGCGATTTTTGTAGCGTTTTGAGATTAGATTAAAAATGAACCGCAAAGCAACACCTCATCCAGCCAGGGTTCGTAGGTCAGGCTTCAGAGGCCGAAGGCGGTGATGATGCTCAGCAGGACTGGACCCCTGGCACGGGTGCGGGGTGCCCTTCAGGGCATCCCTCCCTCCAAGCGCCGCCGGTGTCCCTCTCCTGAAGTTTAATCAGATTATATTGGTTTGCCCAACTCGTTCGGACGATTAACTCAATGAGTCTTACCAACGGCACACGCATGTCGGAATTCCTCGTGGTGAGCAGCTCTGTGGCTGCTTTCTCTTGTGCTGTGCGTCCCACGTTCCCCCGCTGCATCCCCTGCCCCGCTCACCCCACACCCTCCGTGGCCGTGGCGGGGGGTCCTGCAGCAGCTGCAGGGGGCTGCAGGCAGCTCCGGCTCACAGCCCCGCACCGCGCATGCGGTGATTTGTTTGCATTTCAACTACATCTCTTTTTTTTTCCAGCTGTTTTATTTCTCTGGAGGCTCCGAGAGCATCGCCCGGCTCCAGAGCCGCTGGTCCCAGTTTCATTTGCAAAGCAGTTGCCGGCGGGGCCAGCACTCAGGTTCAATATGCCATCGGCACTTGATGTAATTAAACACTTTTTCAGCACACACAGGAGCTCGTTAGAGCTGCGGCAGTGTCCAGGGCCTGGTGGTTTCCTCCTCGTCCCATGTCTGAAGTCTGGTCTCGGTGATGGCCCCCAGGACGGCCAGCACCAGTCCTGAGCCCATCGGCCACCAAGGCGGGAGGCGGGCAGGACCTCCTGCCCAAGCAGACGACGTCCCTGCGCAGCCCTTCCCATGGTGTCCCCCCGAGCAGGGGGTTTGGGGGAGGCCAGGACAGGTTCAGCATCACCAGAAGTTTCATGGGGAAAAAGTTCCCGTTCCTGCCCAGTTCGGCCGGTAAGATTTTTTCCCTGAACTGTTTGTTCGAATATATTATTAAAAAATTCCAGACAAGTTGGAAGGACAGACCAGGAAGATATCTCTTCCAAACCACACAATCTGTGATTTTTCTTTTTTCATCTGAAAGCACAGAAGGGAGTACAGGATTTTTTGTAAATTATTTTTTTTCTTTGAGTTGTATACTTTATGCAGAGAGAACTGGGGAGAAGACGCCTTTCCCTTAGTTTGTGAAATTGCAGGGACTGCAACGACAGCGCAGCGCACTGCGGTTTGCCAGTTTCAAGGGGGAAAAAAAATAAATTTTTTAAAGCCCCAAGCCATACACACGCTCTCTTATCGGGGTTGCACCGAGCTCTGAGAGAACCGAACGTGCTCATAGCAAGTGCCGCTCTGCAGCGACCCCGCGGACGTGCTGCAGCGGCGAAAGCTGCCCCCTCGCTTCCCGAAGCCCAGCGCCTGTCCGGATAAACATCCGAAATAAATCATTGTATTCATTGTATGTGTCACGAAACCTGCCTCCAGTCAGGGAAGGCGGGGAAGGTTTGGGTGAGGCACCGTCCCCGCGGCTGGGACGCAGCGTGCGGTGTTTCTCTTGCTTGTTGAGGTCCGAATCTGACCGCAGGAGATGCCCATCTCTGCCCGAAGGAGTCTGAAATCCATCGGGGGAGCAAGACTCGCCGCAGAGAGCACAGCACGGGGGGTCGCGGCAGCAGCTTTGCCAGCCGGGTTGGGGCGGGACCCCCCCCCCCCAACACACAACGCCGGCCGCAGCCGTGCCCAGACAGGGAAGAACTACAAAACACATTGATTTCTTGTTTCCGGAAATAATGGAATCATTAGAAAGGCCAATTTCAAACTAATTAGAGGTTATTTCTTCACTTGCTGTCTTCTCGCGTCTTGCGAAAGGGGGGACCTGGGAGCGGGGGGAATGTCAACTTGCGCGGAGCTGCATCCCGCCCGCCGGCAGCGCGGAGCTGGGGAATTGCTGGGAATTGCTGGGAACTGCTGACAGCCCACGGGCGGCCCAGCAAACTGCTGATGTGAACCCGCGTCCGGAGGTTTTTGCATTCGCCTGTGACAAGGAAAATGCCTCTCGCTGCAAGGCTTCGGTTTAAACTGGGAATGAATGTGAAGAATCCAAAAGGCAAAGCAAAATGCTGAAAACTGCCCAATTTGCCTTTTCAAACCGCTGCTGCGCTGCGGCTGCCCCGGAGGCTCCAAACGGATTGGTGCAAATGTCCCAGGCGAGCAAATTACTTAGAAATCCCTGAGGGAAAGGAGAGATTTGTTCACGTACCTGTATAATTTTGCCACAAACCTCTGATAAATGATTAGGTTTGTATCTCTTCTAGGCTGAAACGAAGAGCTTTTTGTGAGTGGAGAGAGATGGGGAGGCTGGAGGGTTCAAGTGGCGCCGAGGGAAGTTTAGATTGGATAATAGGAAGAATTTCTTTACTGAAAGGGTCATCGGGCATTGGAACGCGTTACCCAGCGCGGTGGTGGAGTCCCCATCCCTGGAGGGATTTAAGGGTCGTGTAGATATAGCGCTCAGGGACATGGTTTAGCGGTGGGTTGGCAGCGTTAGGGTAATGATTGGCCTGGATGGTCTTACAGGGCTTTTCCAGTCTGGAGATTCTGTGATTCTGTGATTCTGAGGGTCTCCGGCGAGAAGCCCCCAGCCATGGGGGCCGGCGGGGGGAGCGCTCGGCTCTGCACCACGCAGCTTCTGTGGACCTGCTCTCACTGCGGGGAAAGGAAAGACCAGAAGAGGCTCGTGTCAAAGAAGCAAATCTTTTATTGTGTAAAAACCAAGCAGCCTTCCGAATGCAGCCTCCCATCGCCACGTGCACCGCGGCGCTGCCTTGCGTGCCAGCGGGATGTGCCCACGTGTCCCAGACAGGCAGAAGCCATGAAAGCATGTATGGATCTGTCTTCAAATATCTATGGAATTACAAAAGCTTCAGGGAAAGTCTCAGCCTCTGGAAACATCAAAAAGAAAAAGAAAAGAAAAGAAAAGCATATAGAGAGGTTCTGCGATGTGCGGCTCTGTTTGATGGACCCTCCAGCTCCGCTGTTGCTGGGTGTCACATCAAGACCCAAGAGCATCCTTCGGCCGTTCAGCTGATTTTTGAGCAGCGCTACGTGGGATGAGACATCTGGGCTGCACCTTCCGGGTTAAAAAGTTTTGGTGTTTGTTCAGGTCTTTACAGCGAGGCCTTCCCCCGGCCAGCATGGCAAATTATCAGGCACCTACGGCAGCCGCTGGGTTTTAATTACAGCACCAACTCCCGCGTCAAACGACTGCAGGAGAACAAGAAAGTCCCTCGTCCCCACGGCTGGTCCTGAGCAAAGCTGCGGTGATGGGAAACGGGGCAGGGGCGTACAGAAACCAGGGTATGTTTAAAAACAAAACAAAAAAAAAGTCTCGTTGTCTGTAAAACCATCCAATGACTTTTGGGGACCCACTTTCAGTCTCTGCTTAAATCACAGGGTTCCGACGGGGCGCTCTTCCAAAGCAGCGGGGCAGCGGGCTGCCCGGTTGCGGCTCCTCGCTCGGTGCGGCGCCGAGGCCGGTTGCTGCCGTTTATTGAAACAAAGTCTGGAGAAAGTGGGACGTTTCATTATGCAAATTGCGCTTCCTGGAAAGAAATGTTTTATTAACATGCGCTCCCTTCTTGAGTTGGCTTAGTCAATTTGGTCACAGCTTGACATCCAATAAGTTAGTCTAAAGGCAATGGTTTTACAAAATGTTTTTCTAATCTATTTTAAACACTTAATTACAGTTGTGGTGCATTCATTAGGGACTTTGCTTTCAAACCTGGATTGCAGTAATAAATCCTAATTCGGGAAGTGTCAGTTGCAATAGAGAAATTGGAGCCAAGTGGCTGTGGGAGGCAGTTGCTAGCCGGGGGAAGCACGCCTGGTCCAGGAGGGACCCCCTTCCTCCGGAGGGGGTGACCTCCAGCATCCGGCCAAAGCCAATCTCCAATTAACCGAACGAGCACGAGCAGCGGGGTGAGCACTCCGTGGGGCTCGGGAGGATGTGTCTGTTGGGTGACGTGGTGAGAGCTGAGAGACAGTGTCTTTGGGGAACCTGGAGGCCGGGGGACCCCAATGGACTCGGGGCTGGTGTTGTGGCCAGCTCTGGGGCTGTCCCCAGCACTGGCGGTGTCCCCATTGCCCACCACCCCCCCGCAACTCTGAAGGGGACAAGGAGAGGGCAAGCGCGGTGCC